AAGAGAGAGAGAGAGAGAGAGAGAGAAAGAGAGAAAGAGAAAGAGAGAGAGAGAAAGAGAGAAAGAGAAAGAGAGAGAGAGAAAGAGAGAGGAAGGAGAGTTCGATGCACCGTAGTTAGGATTAACAAATATTATTTTCGCTTATTGTATAAACAAGTTGACATTGACACATAGTCATTTCTTAATAGCGTATAGTTTTTGAATAACCGTACAAAGTTCTCATGAGTTAAATAAAAGGTGATCGTGAGATCGTTATAATAACTAGGTTTCTAATACGAATGAAAATTAATAAGTAAATAAGTGACTAAGTAAGTATATTTATCAGACATCTTATCAACTTTGTCGAAAGTCATTAGACGCATAAACTATTTCCTTATCGTTTAAATTCCAAGTCGTTTTATTAAGAATAATAATTCAAATATATATGTATGTATGTATGTATGTTATCAAGTCGATTACAGATACGATGAAAAGTGAGATACTCATGAGATATCGATGAATCTTTCTAGTGATGGAAAAAAAGAGAATAAGAGAAAGAGAAAGAAAAAGAGAGAGAGAGAGAGAGAGAGAGAGAGAGAGAGAGAGAGAGAAAGATGAAGAGGAGATAGAATGAGATGATAAAGGAGTAAAACCGCCGAACCTGCCGACGAATAACTTCACGCATGCTTCCCACGTGACTCACGGTACGTGGTCGGAGTAGGTACGCATCGTTCATGAGCCCTCCGTGCAACCTGCACGCACAATGCGTGGCAAAGAGCGACGCGTTGCTGCTCGCTGGCTGGCTGACTGGGCTGACTGCTGCTTGGCGGACACACGATTCATACTGGCTGCACCTTATGACTCAACAGAGTCAGTAACCTTCCGTTAGCCCTGCTTTAGACCACTTTTCCATCTCTCGCTTGCTCCCTACTCTATACGAGACAGTTATTTGCTCGATGTCTTATTTCGAGAACGTTCTAAAGTAAACGATTAATTCAAACGGAGAGAGGAACAGAGGGAAAGAAGGAGAGAGAGACGGAGAGAAAAAAACGAATAAGATCGAAAGCCGTCGATATTAATGAGACCGAGTTCAGCCTCAGCTCCTGAAAACTGTCTGATTTACGGCCTTGGTTGGCTCCGTGATACTGTTACGTATCACCGTGTCTTACAGAGACAGGGAAGTAATAACCTTTTTCCAACTCGGTCTCTTTCACTCACGTATGTACATGCTTCGTCGTCAACGCAAGGCGCGTGCACACCGTATACAAACTGCTAATATTACTACTACTACTATTACTACTACTATTACTACTACTACGAGCAAACACACCACACATCATACCGCACCACCGTTAGACTCGACGAACTAGATTGACTTTCTTGTAACTCCGCGTGTTCTTCAACTGTTCTCGATATATATATATATATATGTGTGTGTGTGTGTGTGTGTATGTACGTATGTATATATATATTTGCCAATCGCCATCGAGCCTGTCCTCGTTAACTTTCCTCCTGCGGATATATATATTATCGGTATGCCGACGAACGTAAATCATATTTCATTATTTTACAGGTTTAAGAGAATTTTCGGTGTTGAATGACGGCTTTGGTTGGAATCATTATATGCCTGTTTAACCTGAATCGTATCTGTTCCAAAGTGATGGATTGTTTCTAGAGAAAGAGAAATTATATAATGGTTTTTATAATTTTACAAAGGTATCAACAAATAAATAACTGATAGGACAATGAGTACGACACTCATACTCGATAATAAATCTTACCGTAAACACAACGATATTGTCGAAGGTTGAACGACTCGAAAGATTATCACATCCTTGAGAGCTCAGCAGCCCCGTAGCAACAAGGCCCTTTTGTATGCGAAGAACTGTTGGGTTGCGTTCAAAGGCATGCGGAATATGCCATGGAATTTCAAGCGGGCCCAACGGCCGGACGTTGAATCATGTCGGGCGTGAACGCGCGCCTCGATCTTCGACGAATCATGCCCAAGTGAGTCAGACGCTATTGCCTATCTTTCGTAATTTGCCATTGGGAACCGTTTCTAAAAGATATGATCTTAACTTTTATTTCAAAGGGACGATCAATTTATTCTTTCAAACAGTTTTAAAATTGATTTATGATCAATTGATTATTTCGTTTTGACTAATTAATCGATTAATTTTGTTGTTTATTTTTAATTGATTTCTCATGTTTACATAAAAAAAATAAAATAAATAAAATGAATAAAAAAAATAAATAAACAAAAAAATAAATAAAAAGAATGTTCAAACGCTTTCGAATTAAATAGATTAAGTCAGATTACGCAATTCAAATGCATTATATTCGGCTAAGAAGGTAATGTTTAGAAAATACGCTTCCGATAGAACAGTAAGCCGTCTTAAGTTGAAGTAATGGAGCAGCGGGTTATTCGAAGACGAAGTCTTAAGAGATAATCGAGGCACGGCAGGCCGTACCGATAAATCAAGCCATTCGTAAACCTGCTTTTCCACGATTACCACGAAGAAGTCCTTTCGTAAAGGCGTACATGAAGAGAAGGCCGTACGACGGCAGGCCGTTGCACGTGAGCGAACGGATAATTGCAGTTACGTTAGCGACGTTATACGAGAGCCGTGTGCCGATGATATATTGTTGCGTGAAAGGGACCCTTCGGCTAATCATACCAAGAGTATAGTATATACCGTTACTCTCGAAAACGAACGTGCTTCAAAATCGCGGATATAGAAATATTTTCATCGATTGACGAGTCCAGTCACAGCCCCTTCCTCTCTCTCTACCTTATTTCCCTTACACGTTCTCTTCCTTTTCCTTCCCGTTCATCCTTCTCCGTTGCATTTAATCGAAAATCGATCGAAGTCTCCTACGGGACACAGATTCTGGGCGTTACCAAGGTATTATCAAAGTCAATTAAGATTAAAATCTGTTCCCGCTTTCAGAATCGACGTGATGTGACCTCCTCTCTGAAAATAATGCCACACGCCGTTTTCCCGTACTTATCGGTTGGCTTTTCGCACGAATCGGCAAGATCTGAGAGTATGCGAAGGAGGAGGATCGACATGGGTCCAGAACGCGTTGGACGAGACGTGGACGCGACGTGAACGTCTTCGCTCACCGGGGCCGTCTCCCCCTCCTGTTCGTTGAGGAGACCTACTTTGCACATGGCCTACTTGCGGAAGACGACGGTCACGCGAGAAGCCAACAGCAGCAGCAGCAACAGCAATGAACCGATATGTGTCTCTTGTAAAAGAGCAAGCTTCGAGAATATAAAGATGGCAACGAGAGAGTTGTCTCTTTCTTTCTTTATAGAGTCAGAGAAAGAAAGAAAGAAGAGAGAGAGAGAGAGAGAGAGAGAGAGAGAGAGGGAGAGAAAGAGAAAGAGAGAGAGACATCGGATGAGCTAAATTCCTTAGTGCTTCGCAGGCTTAGACCGGTGTCTCTCAAACTCGACGATATTACCAAAAATAACTTTCGGAACGAAGATATAGAGTTTTCTAAATCTAAGACTTTTACTACGATCTTCTATGTATCTATTTTAATCTAAAATAAGTAACGGATCCTTCTATTTCTATCGATCCTTCTAATAACCATATATTCATTAGAGCAATACGATTAAACATAAATATGTAAACACATACGTATATACATACATACGTATTTATATAAACAATTGTTTATAAGGATAAAAATCATTCCAAGAAAAAGAATAATGTATCTGGTGCAATTCGAGAGATACAATTATTCATATAGGTACGATTGTCTCGCGATACTACTGGCTACCGGCTTTCTCTCTCTCTCTCTCTCTCTTTCTCTCTCTCTCTCTCTTTCTCTCTCTCTCTCTCTTTCTCTCTCTCTCTCTTTCTCTCTCTCTCTCTCTCTCTCTCTCTCTCTCTCTCTCAGTCTGTATTCACAAGGAAGCTGAGGAACGTGAAGAAGGACGCTCGCTCACAAGAGAGACGAGTTGCGTGAGACGGCGCGTCCTCGGCTCGGCTCGGCGTCGCGACGATGGGGGACCCAGAGACCTGAATAGCCGTAGCCGGAGGGTCCGATGGGGCAGAGTAACGGTCCACGGATGAAGGTTAGCCGCGTTATCCACAAGCCGAGATGTGCCGAGCAAGATCGCAAGATTGAAAGATCGAGGAACCCGATCATCGTTCAATGATCGAACTCTTATACTATGTCCTTCAACCTTTGCTCGAAGTGTAATAATAAAGAGAGAGACAGAGTGAGAGAGAAAGAGAGAGAGAGAGACCGGTCTCTCTGAAACTTTCTCGTGCCACACCTAACCGCAATACCAAGGTTATAAAATCAATAGACGATATTTTTCAAAACTTTTAGAGATTATTCTAGAACCAAATACACTACGTCGAAATGAAAGAAACGAGAAAATATTGAAAAGGAAGTCCCGCTCTTTCCATCTGATCTGCTCCCCCCTCCTATCCAAGTTAAGTACTTTTTAAAGAAGGAAATGAGAATCGTTGGGTTTTAGAGTAAAGAGAGGATTTGGTAAACATCGAAATACAGAACGGAGGCAGGAAGAAGATGTGGATTCGTTCGCGGAAAAAGTACTTTTTTCAGCAAAATTCCAGAGGGATTACTCATGACGTCGGACGAACGAATAGACGGATGCGAGAAAAAAAGCTTCTCTCTCTCTCTCTCTCTCTCTCTTTCTCTTTCTCTCCTGATCTTTTGCTCTTGCTTTTTCGTTGCTCCCGGGGATTCGGGATCCTTTCAGGTAGAGAAAGAGCGACGAAAACGAACGACGTTCTTTCTAACCATTTGTACCGACAAAAGGTGAAACCCATCACAAGAGATTTGTTCGTAGAGGAATGCGCTTCACGAACCGCAAAGGATGCAATAGCGAAGTAAAAGCTGCTTTTACGTGGCGCTTGAAAAATTCAGTGGCGTCCGTTTGCCACTGTTTCTAGAAAAATTCATTCTTACCGCAAGCTAAAGTTCACTTGGCTTCCGTATAAAGTTTTCGTAAAACCGATTGTAGACATCATGTACAAGATTTTCGAACCGTGCTGCACCCGTGATAATAACGTTCTAAGCCCTAATAAATGAAGAGTAGAAAAAATCAAGAGTTATAATCGAATGCATTCTCCTATCATGCAATAGCATTATCAACGTGGTCATCTCTTTCTCTCTTTCTCTCTCTCTCTCTCTCACCTTTTTTTTCTTTCGTGCGGATGGGATAATTTACTGTGCCGAGAGAGGACGAGGATGGGTCACGAAACTCGTTTCGTTTTATTACCAGTCACTGGCTGTTCTGTATCGACCATTTCCCGTGGTGCCGTTCCACACCAACGTCCTTTATTATATTCTTCTTCCTTTTGCTCCGAACACGTCGAACAGCGACAACCAACCGGATCGTTCGGATTTTGGCGCGAACCATCGAACCATAAATCCGAATCGAAGTAATTTCAATGTAGTCTTTTAAAGTCGATCTTTGGTCGATAAGATTAACAAAAAAGAGAAAAGAAAAAGAACGAATGAAAGAAAAAAGAAAAAGAAGAAAATGAAAAAAAATAAAGAGAAACAAAAAATATATTTGATTATAAAAGTAGGTATACCTATTCACGTTCCCATCCAAATCTCTTTTTCTCTCTTTCTTTCAATGGAACACATGTAGATATTATGTACACAAGCAAAGAGGTATCGAGGTGAGTAATAGAAAAGGAATTTTTCTTAAAAGAAACGACGAGACGTGACGCGTCCTGTGGCGAACTCGAGTGTTATCGTCCGAAGCAGTTAGAACCGGTTATCTTGGACGTGTAACGTACTACGTCCTTAAGGCTAACTCGATAAGTCCAGAGATTGTGGTTCAAGGTCCAACATGGAACACCAAAGGAATTCCTCCATCCTGGCTTTGACAGCTGTCGCACGATATCTAAGACGACGACGTTGCATCCTCGCACGAAGGTATCAACCATCTTTGGTCGTTAGCTGCCGACCGAAGGAAGGAGTAAAGAAGGATGTCCTTTTCTCCAATATCTATCGATCCAAGACATATATATATATATACACACACATACAACACACAACACACACACGTTGCAGGAAAGAATTTTATGAGAACATCTTGCCGTTTTTTCGACGGCTTCTTCGAGTCTCCGATGTTTTAAAATTTACGAACCACATCGACGGCCATTTTCTAGTTCTTCGATATTTCTTTCTTTTCTTCATTTCGCCCGAGAAAACGATTTCACCGTTCTATCTATTCTAAATCTTTTTCTTTTTAACGATAAAATTCTCTTTCACAAAAAATAAAAGGGGAAGAAAGAAATTAATAAAAAGAAAAAAATAGAAAGCGGAAAAGAAAATAAAAAGCGAAAAAGAAAAATCTTGTGTTCTTCGAGCTTGTAAGCCCATAGAAGCTTGCGAAACTACCACGGAAGCAAACACTTGAATGGTACTCCTGTTCTAGAGAGGCTTACGTAGCGCTCGTAATAAAAGAGGGGAATCGGGAAAGAGGGTCGCGTTCTTCTTGAGAAGAAAGGGTGCAAAGGCCGTCGTCTTCGAATAAGCCTCTGTAAGTTTCACTAAGAGAAAGAGAGAAAGAGACTGAGAAGAAGGGTAGGGGGAAGAAGAGGAATAGGGACGATAAAACCGCAAAAAGTGTTTTTCCTTCTGGAGCATTTCTCTCTCCCCCTCTCTCTCTCTCTTTCTCTTTCTCGAGGGAGAGAAGAGAAAGAGAGACAGAGGAAGAGAGAGTACTGGCGCCAGCGCTAATGCAAGACGCTCGCACTCGAGGAATGCGCTCGCGCGCACGCTCCTCTCGCGTCCCGTCCCGTTCCCGAGAATGAATATATTCGTATCCGTGCTATCTCTTTCTCTTTCTCTCTAGGCTCGCCGACGAATCTGGAAGCGAGCCTAGGTTTTAGAGAGAACGGTGACGCGGTAGAGGGAAGCGACGACTAACGACCGCAATCCGAATCCTTCGATCTTTAATTTTAGAGCACACGATCGATATTACCTTTCGCTGCATCTAAATCCGTCCATGAGATCTAAACCCTTCCTAACCGTTGTTCTTTTCTAATCGGTTCTCTTAACCCGATCGAAGTCCCAATCGATGAGGAAGCTATTAATAGCTCTCTATTTCTCTTTCTCTCTCTCTCTTTCTCTTTATATATAAATATCCATCTATCTATCTATCTCTCTCTTTTTTCACTATATGAATTTATAGACATAGAAAGCGTAGTTGAATCGATCGAGTTGGTCCATTCGATCGAGAAGCTCTCTCATAAATGATCTCGATAGTTTTCTCAGAGGGAAAAGAGCAATAAGGAGGAAACACAGCGGGATATCCAGGGTGTAATGTTTAGTCATCAAACAGGATATCCGAGTAAAATGCCAAAGACGAGAATAAACAAACTTGGCTAAAAATAACGTTCGGCAGTTTGTTCCCTCGCTCGAAAGCTGTCGTTCAGTATTTCTCTCTCTCTCTCTCTCTCTTTTTCTCTCTTTCTCTCTCTCTACTACCAGAGCCACATCCGGAGCCCTTTTTGTTAATATGACGTTATAACGAGGAGCTAGCTTGGGCGCACGCGATCGATCGTTTCATCGAGAATATTATCTTTTTCTGAAATTACAACACACACACACACATACACACAGAGATACAATCACATACAGATTTCATATTTTTCATTGGATTTTTTTCTCCTCCTTTAGTTTTATCGTGATCGATAAAGGTATTTGATTTCTTGCAATCGAGAGCAAAAAAGCAGAAGTGTCGTCGTAAGAAACGGAAGCAGGTTCGATCGAAAAGGTAGGCGCGGATGGTGAAAGGCGGTAAAATTTCACTCCTTGATTCGTTTGAGATTCTCTCTCTTTCTATTTGTCTCTTTTTCTCTCCCTTTTCTTCTCTTATCTGCCGGTGCGTTTATATGGCGATTTCGTGGCATTAAAACCGATCTCCGTGAGGTTTCACGGCGACAATGGCTACCGGTTTGGCTTCGCTTTTTAATCCGGTCGATCCTCTTCCGATCGACGAGCGGTTAAGCGGTTTTGGTATCTAGGTTTCTAGAGCTACAACAAAAGGAAGCCTTCTCTTTCATCTTTCCTTCTTGTTTGATAATATAAGTAAGATATCGAATATATTTACAATTTTCTTTTACTATATATCCTTCATCCTTAAAAATATTCATCGACATTACGATCGATCATTCTTGATCACGTTAAATAAAAACAAATGAAAAAACGTTATATTCCAAACGATCCTCGATTACCATGTTATGCTAATGCACTCTCGCTCATCCAATCTTTTCTTCTTTCTATTAGATATAAGCGAGAGTGATTTTATACAATTCACAAAAATTACACGAGAAGGTCATTGTATAGATTTAGATGAAAAGAAAGATAAAAAAAGATAAGGCGTAATAAATGAGAGAGAAAAAGAGAGAGAGAGAGAAAGAGATAACTTTAAAAATGTCAGGACTATCGCATAAACACCGTTTATAGTCGATTTTATTGGGTAGGAATGATTTTGCGCCATGCGAACCGGTCCTATGCGTGTCTCGACTGCATTCTTCAGTTTGATACCGCCCAAATACAAATACTATCGATGTTAGACGAAGAAAAAATATTGGCTCTCTCTCTCTTTCTCTCTCTCTCTCCCCACGACGTATCCTCCTCCTGGATCGATAAAACGAAATTGATGGAATCGGGATCGAGATTTGCAATTGTTCTGTACGAACTCTGATCAGAGACTATGCTTACTTTGATCTATGATTCCTCTACGGAAAAGAATAAGAAAGAAAAGAATAAAAATGAAAAAAAAAGGAAAATGATTTACTTATGACTTATTAATATTTACAAAAATTACCAAATATAATGATCACAATGAAAATGACTAATAATAAGATTAAAAAAAAAAAAAAAAAAAGAAAGAAAGAAAGAAAGAAAGAAAGAAAGAAAGTGAGAAAGAGAAAAAGAAAGAACAAACAAATATGAATAGATCTATGATAATCATGCTTATCATGTATGTACAAACGTATCTACATATATGCATGTCCTGTCTTTATTAAAATGTTTAAGAAATTTGTACGAATATTTATTGAATACTATTTGATTAATGAAAAGAGAGTGAAAGAAAAAAAGAAAGAAAGAGAAGGAGAAGGAGACGCATATACGTAAAACACGCTCACGTGCAATGCACGCGCGTAGCTTCGTAATACCGTGAAATGCTCTCACGACAATAAACGCCACCGCCGACGACATTGTTGCAAGAGGATGAAGGGAAGAGGGGAGGAAGGGTGGAGAACGTGGAGAAGATGAAGAGGAAGGGAGGAGGGCGCTCGTCCGGGACGCGGCTCAATCGAAGGTGAGCGCCCACGTGGCGCTTTCGAGGCTGCCTTTTAATGCCCGGTCGCGCGAATGCCGCGGTGTCTCTTCCTCCTCCTCCTCCTACTCCTCTTCCTTCTCTTTTTCTTCTTTCTCTTCCTATGCCGTTGTCGCATGCTCACGATGAAACAGCAACGACTCTTTGCGATGACACAATAGCTCTACGCTACAAAGGCCGTCGTCGAGCAGCTTACACAAGGACGCAAGGAAGGTAAAGAGGTGAGTTTGATACGCATAAATAAATGTTTCTTCGTCAAAGGATTATCGTAGATACTAAAGGAACGATAAGTAAGAAAAAATTCGTATCGATTACATTTAAGAAATATTATAATTACCAAAATTGATCTTTTCGTGTGAATGTGTATTAAAATGAATAATTAATTACTTGTCGGATTGCGTAAATCAACGATTGATTTACGTTGGAATTTTTAATATTTTGTTACCAAAGAAATAACACTCCATTTAT